TATTCAATTGGTGCCTTACTTGTACAGGAAATGGATAGAGAAGAAAAGCATGTGTATTACCTTAGTAGATGCTTACACAGAAGTGAGTTGAATTATTCATCTATGGAAAAATACTATCTTGCTTTAGTATACGTAACTCAAAAGCTTCAACACTATTTCTTGGCACACAAGCTAATAATTATGACAAAGTCAGATCCCATCAAGTTCTTACTTTCTAAGCGAGCTCTATCTAGAAGAATAGCAAAATGGCTTCTTTTATTAGGAGAGTTTGATATATAAGTTGTTCAGCTAAAAGCTATCAAGTCTCAAGCACTTTCAGATTTGTTAGCATATTTTTCATCACAGTTTGAAGAGGTTATTCCTGATGCCATTCCAATTGAATTTCATGAAGAAGCATGTGCAATAAATGTATGAAGCACTAGTTTGGGGTTGTATGCGGCAACAACGATTGGAGTAAATAATCTTTGCATTCATGGAGATTCTAATCTTATTGTAAAGTAGACTAATGGTGAGTTTTCCTTGAAAGAGCCAATGCTTGCTTCTTATAGAACTCCTGTTGAGTCCTTGTTAGAGAAATTTCAAACAGTGAGATGTGAACATACTCCAAGAACAATGAACCGTTATACAGATGCATTTACTACTTTGGCTTTTAAAATCTCTATTTCGGAGAAAGAAACGAAGTATTTCTATAGCTGTACTCAAGAGGACTATCCCATGTCCATCTAGTGAACTATTACAACCTCCAATTTATAAGAAAGAGTATTGGTGAAAACCTATCGTAGTAGAGCTGCTTAATCCTGATTCTACTACTATTTCGAGCTTGAAGCATTATATTCTGATTCATGGTACACTTTACCACGAAGGAAGCAATGGAGTTCTAGCCAGATGTGTTTCTAAGGAAGAGGCAAAAGAAAGATTGAGAATAGCCCATGAGCAATGGTGTGGGGAGGAAAGACCACCTTTACACTGCTTACTCCAAAGAGCATGATATTTTTGGCCATCTATATCTAAAGATGGTTTACAACTTCAAAGGGTTTGCACTAGATGTTCTGAACCACTAGAGGTATAAGAGTGCAATTTTGTGGAAAGTGCTAGTGATTGGCGTAGGCCTTATATTGATTTTCTCCAAAATAGAATTTTATCAGCTAACTTTCAAGATGCAAGAAAGCTCAAGAGAAAAGCTCAAGGTTTCTTCCTCAAAGGAAATGACTTGTTCAGACTCTTATTTGTAGGAACACCATTGAAATGTGTTTCCCTAGCTTATGTCAACCCATTATTAGAAGAAGTGCATGCAGGTAGTAGCAGAGAACATGAAGGTGGAAGGAAGCTTTATCAGAAGCTTTTGGATCTTGGGTATTATTGGCCTACTATAGAAGTGGATGTAGTGAATTATGCAAGGAAATGTTATCCGTGTCAAATTTATAGGAACGCTATACATGCTCCAGTTGTACAACTTCATAGCATCATTACTCCATGGCCATTCCATACTTGGGCGTTTGATTTGATTGGACCTACCAATCTTCTTTTAAAAGGATATACTTGGATATTAACAACAACAGAGTGCTTTACTAAATGGGTGGAAGCTATTTCTTTGAAGAATGCGAATGGTCCACTGGTGGCAAATTTCATTAAGGAAAACATCATTTAGGGGTTTGGCATACCTAGACATATTCTTTCAGATAATGGTACTCCATTCATTAATGCTAGTGTAAAAGAATTACTTGCTCTTTATGATGTGGATCATGTGAAGTCTACTCCTTACTATCCGAAAGGAAATGGTCAACTTGAAGCATTTAATAAGACTTTACTCAAAGTGCTCAGTAAAATGGTGCATGAAGAACCAAAGATGTGGCATGATGTACTTCTAGTAGCATTATAGGCATATAGGACTTCTAAGCGTGTACCTACTAAAGCAACTCCTTTTCCACTAGTATATGGGACAAAGGCTATACTACCCACAGAAATTCTAGTTCCATCTGCAAGATTAGCTTTAGATAATGATAATGATACTTTATGAATGTTAGAATTGGAAGCGTTAGAGGAAAGAAGAGATAAAACAAAGAAGAACTTATCAGTTTATCAAAGGAGGTTGAGTAGAGCTTATGGCAAGCTAGTGAAAAAGAGAAATTTTGAAAAGGGTGATCTAGTACTATATGCAGCTGAGCATATTAGAAGAGGAACCTCAACTTCTAAATTCAGTCCAAAATGGGAAGGACCATATTTTGTTCATGAGGTGAATAAGAGTGGATAATGCAAATTGATAAATCCGAAGAACAATGCCATCACTGCTTCAATCAATTTTCAATATATAAAGAAGTATCATGTATGAGATTCTAACTCCAGTCTTTGTTATATGCAAAATACATATTTTACTTCTTCGCAATGAAAGGCATTATAGCCGCAGTATTATCGCTTTTATATTAGCTGTGCTTTACTATTTTAGCCCTAGCTTCATTGCTTATATCTTGGCTGTAATTATATTATATTATTGGTCGCAAGCTATATTGGTCAATCTTTGACCATAATTTATCATTAACATTTCAACTGCTAGCTTATCGCTCATGATTTGGCTGTAATGATATTATATTATTGGTTGCAAGCTATATCGCTCAATCTTTGACCATAATTTATCATTAACGTTTCAACCGTTAGCTTTATCGCTCATGATTTGGCTGTAATGATATTATGTTATTGGCTGCAAGCTTCATTGCTCATCTTTGGCCTTAGCTTAATACTCATAAATTGGCCATAGTTTTTATGCTTACTTATTAAAAGGATGAAATAATCTCCTTCATGTTCAGTTAGAGTTAATCTCCTTGATGAAAAGTTGAGAGTTATCCTTTGACCGCATACAATAATATGAAATGTGAATAAGCACGCAGCAAGAATATAACATTATTATTATTATTGCAAAAGAAAAAGAAATATGACATATTAAAAGTGAAGTACTAACGCGAATGAGTTTCAAAAAAAAAATAGTAAAGGGAAAAGCAAAAGATTAGTCAATTACATACTCCATAGAGAAGAGTTATTATTGGCAAATACATCTAATTGTTCTCGTATTTCAGCTTCACATTTTTTCATTGAAGCTATCTTCGTTGCAATGTCTTCTAACTCCTTTTCGAAGGAAGACTTGTTGAGGAAAATCTTGGCTTTAGATCTACAATCACTGAGGCATTCAAGCTTGAATCCAAAGTTACAAGCATCATCAAAATCCTGTAACATCTGTTGCGATTCTTCAGATGAAGTGCACATTAATGGAGCATGAAAAATGCCTAAAGCTCTATCCATCACTGCCATCATTAAGCAAATGACATCTACATTCTTCACAAAGGAAGTACTCCAAAACTCTCCCTCTATATTGAAAACATGCTTCAAGTATTCCGTGTACTCTAATAAAATTTGAAAACCATGAAAGTCAACTTTCTTACCACTTTGTTCAGTATGTGCTACTTGAGTGCTAGAAGCACTATTGGAATCTCTGTGTTCTAGCACTATGGAGGAAGAAGCATGAGGGTTAATTTGAGTAGCTCTAGCACCATCAGTATCAACTCCAACATCATGAATAACCTCAACATTTGGGGTAATCTTAGGAACAACTTCAACCTTAGGAATAGCCTTAGTGTCAGGAACAACCTCATCTCGAATAGCCTGGAGAGATAGTTTATACCTGGTTTATAGTGGAGCTCTGAACATGATTTAGAAATAGAACATCCAAATCAATGCAATCATCAAAAAGAGTTAACTCAACCTCAACTTCAACATTATCAACATCAACTGATTCATCATCAGATTCATCACTATGTTCAGAGTCACATGATTCTTCCTCTTCAACTGAATTAGGATCTACTCGTGTTGTTGATTCTCCTTAAAAAAAAATGAGAAGATATAAAAATATATATAAATAAGAAAATAAAAAAAAGAATAAACTTACTTTTCGATAGGTGTGTTTATCTTTCAATTGACGAGTAGGAGCACCAGGTGCAGAATCTTCTTCTTCAGTTATACATATCTTCTTTTTAAGAGGAATCAAGTGCAAGGATATATTATTATTACTTACATGAGGAGTGTAGAGATGAGTTATGCGATTAGTTAATGGCACAATAAAAGATTTTCATTCTCCAAGACACTCTCTCCAATAAGCAAACCATCTAGAAGTATGGATACCAACACTATTAAAAGGTGGGACAGTACAATTCTTAAGTTTATCTAAACGGAGTAGAAGTCTTGTCATGAGAAATGAAGAAACACAAGAAAAAAAGCTGATAGATGAAGAAGAGTTAGGTGGAGCTGGTTGGTCAAATCTAAAATGACGTGCCACTCTATAAAGAGAATACACTTCGATAGAATGAAAGTTTCTATCTCCACCAGCACTAGAACTCTCAATCATAAAAGGTAATTGGGAACTATGAACCCATATACAAAAGTTGATACCTTGTGAGCTCATTCTTCTAGACTGTAGAGGTTGAAGGTCATAATAAATTACAAGATCACCAAATCCATTTATAGGCTGCACATAAGGTCTAGGATTGAATTCTTTTGTAACATCCATCACTTCAAGAACATTACCTCTTAGTAGTCGATCATGCCATGCCCAAGCTCTATAGTTGTTTCTGGATAAAGGATTAGTCACAGAAAAAAGATGCAAAGGGATATGCATTAGGCATGGGAGCGCTAGTACCAAACCTTTCCCATAAGCACATCTGAATGAAGGAAGCATCCACATAAGTCAAAACTCTATAACGCCTAGCTGACTCAATAGTTTTGAGTTGGTACAAGTCTAATCTCTTATATAAAGATCCTTAATATAGTGGAGCAAGAGGAAAACGTATTCCATTAACAAGTTTTATTGCTAAAGGAACAACTATTGAAGAAATACCATAATCTGGATACCTTGGGAGTATGTGTCGTGCCAACCAAAAAAATTATTAAAGCTATTAGCTCATGCTTATGGTCTGGGTACTCCGGAAAACCAATTTCAATTCCCTTAGCATTGAATTTTTTTATAAAAAACCCCTATCTAGTTGGAAAATCATGCAACCTTCAAAGTTTTACTTAGACTTTTAAGGAGATCAAAGAAAAAGTCTCGAATACATACTTTTTCTTTAGAAAGTTTAATAGAGTGAAAATCATATTTTCCTATACAAGGAAGTTCCAAGAGTACACGTACATCTTCCAGAGTGAAGGTAAATTCTCCCCATACAGTAATCATAGTATGAGAAAAAGTGTTCCACCTTGCAAGAATAGCACGCCATGCATTCATCTTCTTCTTTTTATGAATATTGAGTTTAGAAGTGATACGTATAACATTCAATATCCTAGAAGACGAGATAAGTTTAACATAAGTAGGATTCTTCAATATTTTATTTACCCACTCATCCTAACCATAAACAAATTGAGAATTAGAGCCTAACTTAGTAGCAGAAAGGGAAAACTCACCATGTTCAAATCTGAACTTCAGAATAGATAGTCTTGGAATACCACTTTTTTTATAAAGAGGTGCTTCTAACCACAGACGATTTCAACAATATCCAACAGGCTCAGAGGGATGTTCGTCTACTTGTCTGGCATGAACTTCTTCCTAAAAACGATCTTCTCTTCATTCTTTAATAATTTCATCTTCTCAATTTTCAAGGACAGGAGGAACTTCACCACTCTTTCCTACTCTAATTTTCTTGGGAGCAACTAATTCGGAATCATTGTTCTTTCTTTCATGTGTAGTGGTCTTCTTCGTTGTTGCAGCCTTTCTAGGCTCACCATAATGGATCTGCGGAGGGAAGCGTGTTCTAAGCATAAAATAAGATGGAGGAAGACGAAAAAAGAAGCCTACAAACATGATCATGGAAAAAGAGATTAGTATTCATGTGCAATAAACTTTATTATTTATATATTTGTCAATTAAAAAAACATATAAAAAATACATATAATAATAAAACAATAACAAAATAAAATAACAATATGATATATTTATTATTAATATATGTAATAATAACAATAAATAACAAAAATGATATATTCATTATTAATATATATAATAAAATAATTATAATAAAAAAAAAGTAAAAAAAAAAGGGGGCTCGCTGCTCTTCATTGTAAAAAGCTCACGGCACTTCATTAAAAAGAGATCGCGGTGCTTCACTAAAATAATAAAAAAATAAATAGAGGCTCAAATTAAAAAGAAATTTATAATTTACAGCTTTGCTGCAGACAAAAAAAAAAGCTCTCTTTTTTGTATAAAAAAATACTGCAACTTGCAGCTTTTGTTGCCAATAAATCAAAAAGAAAAAACAGACAAGTTAGTCAACCTTTGTTTACTTTTTTTTACCTCAGCCTTTATTTACTTCTTTTATTCTAATGTTTCATTAAAAAAAATTTAAAACAAAAACTAGTGACTCCAAATCTAGAATTTTAAGAATAAATAAAAATATTAAACCAAACTTCAAGAGAAAAAGTCAATTAAAAATATAAATAAATAAATCTCAACAGTTTTTTTCATTTGAAATATAAATATTTTTGCTTTGTGATTTTTTTTACACAATCAAATAATTTATTTATTTTGAATGTGTATATATATATATATATATATATATAAATCATCTTGTGCATACATTTTTTTCTTATATTTTAATTAAAAAGAATTCATGCAGGAGGCAACAAGTAGGAGAAATTCATTTTTCTTTTAAAAAAAAAGAGAACAAATCAAATAAGAAATTACAAGAAGAAGAAAAACTTACTTGCTGAATTTTTCTCAAAAGAACCAACTTTACTTTGAATTTTATTTTGCTTTACTTTGAATTTGAATGCAGAAAATTGTTCATAGTAGTTTCATATTTATAAAGCACATAGAATCAAGTATTTTTAATAAAAAATATTGATTTTTATTATTTGTATCTTGAAAATCTTATTTATATGAAAAATTATTATTATGTAATCAATCAAATATTACAAAAAAAAAATCTTGAAAATCTTATTTATATGAAAAATTATTACGTAATCAATCAAATATTACAAATATATATATATATATATATATATTGGGATTACATCTTACACAAAACAGTAACATGTTATTACCTAAAGCATTACCGGTTAAGGTGTTACTGTCTAAGGTGGTACTGCCTAGGGGCATTATTACTCAAAATGATACAGTATAATACATTATAGTACAAAATAAAATTTTTTAAATTAATACATAAGAATTAATTTTAATAATCAATTCTTATGCAGGGGGTAAAATGTAGATAGTTGATTTTGGTTAATACTTATTCTCTAAAAAATCATTTTATCGCGTAACATTATATAAAGAATAATGAGAACAACCATTATAAGTAAAGCACTACTTCACGCTGAACAATTAAAATAAATAGAACATTACTTCATGTGGAACAATTAATACAAGTAGAATAATTATTTTGCACAAAATAATAATTTCAGACAGATGACAATGAAAGTAATTCGGAATAGGTGACAGGGTTTATGGGTTACTTTTGTATTGGGATATTCCGGAGAGTTTAGTTTGGTAGCTCAGATATGGAAGTAGTTAAGAAGTCTCTCTTAAAATGACAATGACACAAAATGACAATGACAATTTGAGTAAGTTAGCTATTAATAATAAGAGTTTATTTGATTGAAAATAAAAATATAAAAATTTATTTGATTCAAAATAAAATTGAACGCGATATACATATAAGGTCTTATTTGAATTTTTCTGAATAATGTAAGACTTTTTTTATATATTATGTTAAAAATAAAATAAATTATGTTACCTATCAAGCATATCTTTTCAATTAAAAATGTTTGGCTCGTAACAAATAATATCAAAACAGATCCAACTCTTCATCGACTTGAAATCCTTATAAAAGATATCAAGATCGAAATAAACTCGTGTAATGAAGTCTTGTACCACATTAATAAAAAATAAAATGGATCTTGAATCTCACAGTACATATCTTTTAAATTATAAACATGCATACACAAAGTCGTCAAGGACTTCATTGCTTGGCTTTACAGTACTGCTTCTCCTTTCTAATTATTTCTTTTGGCTTTGCTTTGTTATGTTTTTCTTGTTTTTTCTCAGCCATGTTCCTCTCTTTTCAACATCAGGTATACTGGATGAATTAAATTTCTCTTAGCCTTGAAAGAAGAAAATTTCCATTACTCCCATTTAAGACAGTAGAAAATTCTGAAGAGCAATAAAGAATGTTTCCTACGAACGCTGTTGGTGGCTTGGCAATTTAAGTCTGGGCCCTAATAGAAATTTAATATGTTCTACAATGACGTATACCTTAATTGTAGGTATTTCTTTGGGGCTTATTAAAATAAATTCATTTTTGCATTTAAAAAAATAATATCTTTGAATCAAGGCAAGCAGGCTTGGAGTTAAAAACTTCAAAACCCAAACCTGACCAGAATTAAACACGGCCTATTGGCCTGGGCAGCTAACCCACCCCCACCCACCCCCTAGGGAGATCTAATCTAATCTTTTAAGCTGGAAACATAGACTAAACAGTCTCAATTAAAATAATAATAATAATAACAATAAAATAAAAGTGTAGTTATCATCGGCATGTGATTAATAATAATCTAATAAAGAAGCATGACATGTTCACGGCGAGGTGCTTCTTTTTGTACACTGACAGCTACAAATATTGGTTAAGTAGCTCTATATTCAAGCGATCAGGATGGCTACATATATTTGGAAGATGCAATGCTGGAATATTACCTATAAAAACTCCGAAGACCATGACCATTTCAAGTAGAAAATTGCCAAGCCACTGTACTTGTTGACTTCTGCTTTTAATAATCAAATTTATGGATTGGCTTTGAACACGTTCATAGTCCAAGACGTAAAACGACAGTGAGATGAACTTTTCAATCTTTACGTTGTTAATAATTATGTCTAGTTACTAAAGCAGCTGGTTTATTGGGATAGCTGTCTGACCGTGGAATTTATACACCCCAAATGATTTAATTTATTTTAAATTTGAATATATACAAATATGTAAGTATTTTATTACACAAAAGAAAAGGATTCTCTTCTCACCTCATAAACTAAACTAATTTGGTTTCGAAATTCAAAGATCAAACTTCCAAATTAAATTATCAAGTTTTTAAGGCAATAATTAATTTGTATCACACGTCACTTAAAGCATCAGTCTGACTTTTCATTTTCTGACATTATGTACATCTGCTTGCTATAAATCTTACAGTTCCGTCTGAGTGCTGCACGCTTCAGCTACAGCAACTTTGTTTAAACGATTAAGTTTCGAGCTTCAGAAAATTTGGAGACATGGCTACTGATGAGACCAAAGTATCGCCACAATCATATCCAATGAAAGGTGGAGATGGGAAAGTCAGCTATGCTCGTAACTCCTTCGCCCAGGTACTGAAATTTTATTTTTCAAATTATACCGTACACTCTTTTGCATCTGAAAAGTTTTGGTCCCTAGATATTTTGAGTACACAAATGATTGACCTTTCTTGGAAAACACCATGATGATGATGTCTTCTTTTTCCATGCAGAGGACAGCAGTGGATGCTTCCAAGAAATTTATAAGCGAAGCAATAGCTGACCTTCTTGACATTGAATTTGATCCCATTCTGGATTTATCTGTCAGATTTGGAATAGCAGACTTGGGCTGTGCCGCTGGGCCTAACACATTCTACGCAGTGCAAAACATCATAGACGCTATAGACAGCAAGTACGCAAAGCAGCATCAGGAATCTAAAGCTCTAGAATACCAAGTGTTCTTCAATGATCACATCAACAATGATTTCAATACTCTCTTCAGAACCCTCCCCTCCCCGCTGCGATACTTTCCTGTTGGAGTGCCTGGTTCTTTTTATGGTCGCTTATTTCCTGAAGCCTCTGTTCATTTGATGCACTCATCCAATTCATTGAACTGGCTTTCTAGAGTTCCTAAAAGTGTTGGAGATATCAACTCC